ATCTCAGATCTAATGCAAGGCATGATAATCAGTTTTTAAATGTAAATCCTGAAAAAATGGAATTCAGTAGGGGATAAATTTGAAACTGCAGGCTGGCCATGTCTGGGAGGACATGTGAGTATTCATTGTTGAGTTATGACACATATATATTTCTTTTAAGAAATCATTTGACAAAAAAAGCATAATATTCCACTTGCTTATTTCTGACATAAATCATGGTCCAGTGAAAGTACTGTTTATAAGAGAAAGTAATATGGGAATATGTTCCCTCCCGCGCACTCTGACTTACTTTTCATTTATGGTACCAGAGTAAGTAAAGAAAAACAAGTAAAGGTTTAATGAATATTTTATAAGTGAAAATCAATTTTATAACAATCAAAATTGCTAGATGAATTAAAATTTTCAAGTATGAATGATTCTCTACTATCACCAGAAAGGGCCCGGGACTGGAGCGGGTCTGCCTCAGGCAGGCCTGCAGTGTGTGGGTTCTTGACCTAGTTCGGGAAAGATTTCACAACACTAGTCCAGGTGATTTTGGAGAGTATGTTTGCTAAAGCTGGGGACAGTGAAACAAAGGAAGGGCTTAGGATAGAAGAAGCAACAGGAGAGAGCCTACGCAATGCTGCTTTGGCCCTCTAGAAACATTACAGATAATAAGTGAGCCATGCAGGGCTGAATGGACTCACTGAGAAGTAAAAATCACAGTGACAGAAGTGAGCCAAGGCAGGACCACTTTTAGCTCAGTGAAAAGTAAGAGAAAAGGAGGATTTGGAGACAGGCTCAGGGAGTTAGCCCAGGACGAGCTGCTGTTTCCAGCTGCTTCTCTGGTTACAAGTCTCCTGGGGACCCTCAGAGTTTAGAAGAAAGAGAGCAAAAGTGCACTCCAAAGAAAAGGAGGGGCTGTTCCAAGGATAGGGGGCTGGCTTCCTTCATCTTGAGGGGTTTTCTCTGTTTTCTAAAGGCAGGAATTTTAGGGGACGTTTCACGGGGCCATCTCAGTAAGACTATTCATCAGCTTTCCAAGTGTGCCCTTCAGTCCTGACCCTGAGGGGTTCAGGGTCATTCTTTGGTCAGTTTTACCTTCTAAGAATGTCACTGAAGAGGGACCAGGACCGAGGCGGGCCTGCCACAGCAGGGTCTGGAATGTGTAAACCATTTGCTCCTAAGTGTCCTTGGTTAGGGAAGATAAGACCTTGCGATTTATTATCTGGCTCTAAATTACTTGACCAGTTTGTTCAGCTATCTGTCTCAGTTTCTTCATTCCACTTGCCAAGGAATTTTCCTAGCTTCTTACTATCCTACCTTACTACAGGCAACGTCTTCAGATGTTAGGCAAGATCATTACAACACACTTCTGGTTTTCAGTGGATGAATAATGCTCTTAACCCTAAATTGTGGAGGTGCTTCAAGATTCCTAGGCAGTAGAGCATGTTAGTTGGTAGTAAGAAAACCCTCAGATGCCTAGTTTGAAATTTGTGGGACAATACATAAGAATTTACTTGACTCTTAACTTGAGACCTAACTCCTCAGATTCCTCAGTTCATAGAAATTTAGGTATTTTGTTTGTTTGCTGATTGTTTTTTTGTTAATCCTCATAGGAGGATATTTTTTTCCATTGCTTTTCAGCAAGAAAGTGGAAGGAGAGAAGGGGAGAGAGGGGGAAGAAAAAGAGAGAGGGAGAGAGAGGGAAAGAGAGGGAGAGAGAGGGAGAAACATCGATGTGAGAGAGACACATCATTGGTTGCCTCCCATAAGAGCCCCAACCAGGTCGAAGAGAACCTGCAACCTAGGTACGTGCCCTTGATTGGGAATTGAACCCAAGACCCTTCGGTCCTCTGGCCGATGCTCTAACCACTGAGAAAACCGGCCAGGACTATAGAAGTTTAGTTTTAAAAGACATATTCAGAAAACATGAATTCAGCTGTTTTTTACAAACATGAATTCACCTTCTTGCCCAAGGTCACTGGCTCCCAATTCTATCCCTGATACACTCTGCTATCTTCACTCTTCTATTTTATGTGAACACACAAAAATTGTGTGACTCGAAAATATTTGTTTTATGGAATTTCAATGTTTAATAAATTCTTTAAAGGGTGATTTAAAATATGTTGGGATTTGTCAAGAATGTTCTACCCATGCATATATTACAATTATTGAATGGAATGAGAATAATTAAGACAATTAAAATTTCACAATAATTTATTTTACTTATCTTGATTTGTGCACTATTTTAAGTCTACAAGATGTTCATAGTCTTTGAAGATCACTTACTTATGAAAAATTAATCCCTGTTACTCACTTTGTATTGAGAAAATGATTGAGATAACAGAGAGTTCCTACTTTTAAAAATTTTATTTTTATCAAAGTATTAAAAACCTTCAACCCCATTAATTGTAAAAGAACTAAGAAGATATTTTTAACTTCCCTTTGTGGCATACCACTGATTTAACATACTTTCAGTACATTTAAGTAAGAAATAAAGCAATCTTTTTGAATGATACAAGTAGAAGAGCCGTGACAATGGGTCAGTACAAATTTTTGATGTCATGATAGTGTTCCCTTTCTAACTGTAAATACAATAAAATACTGATGAGAAATCTAAACCTAGTCATGGCCCTGATTATCTGAATTTCACTTAATGGATTGTCTGCTCCTATATATTTTGAAATAAATTTAATTGGAGACCCACCTTTATTAAATAAATAGAAGATTTGAGTTTCAACTATCACAATACAAGGAGAATTTAAGGGGCAGAAAAATATTCTCTTATGCTCTTCTATCAAAATCAGTTATGCAAAGGTTCTCATGATAATTTGGCCAGAACAAATATATGGTAGCCAATCATTTTGAAGAACAGTTGCCTACTACAATCCTTTTAATTCCTTGCTACTGAAAGTGTGGTCCATAATCCAGCAGCATCAAAGTATGTTAGGAATGCAGAAACCTAAGCCCTGCTCCAGATCTACTGAATCAAATGGATCTCTGAGTGATTCACATGTACGATGAGGTTTGAGAAACATTGCTTTCGATTTAATTTGGAGAAGGCATGGGAGAAGAGTGAGTAGAAATGATTGTATTTACATCTGTATTTTTTTAGCTAATGTCACAATTATTGGTATACAATACAATTTTGTCAGATACTTTGTGAAGATTTTTACATTCATTGTCATATTTAAATCTCACACACACAAAAAAAAACTATGAAAACTATTATTGACATTTTAAAATGAGAAAATTGAGATTTATAGGAATTAAGTAAATAGGGCTAGTTCACACAGATAGTAACTGGTAGGAGGCAGTTTAACCCAAGAACTTGTGTACTTAATCATTATATTTTATTGCTGAGCATATGACTATATGCAGATTAAGGGAGAACATATAAATTATACAATGGCTGCAATAAAAAACATTCTGCCATAGGTAAAAAAAACTTCTTATCATGCATGAGTCTCTACTAACCTAGGATTTCAAAATCCTCCATAACTGCCAATTTGTGTTTTTTTAAGACATTAAAATACACATATCAGAAAATCTGGTTAGATGGAAGTACTAGCTAATTCCTCATAAATCAAATAAAGTTAACTCATACTTAACACTCTACTCATAAAGATACAAAGATATTAAGAATGAATTCTAACTTACTAAGTGATCATCCTGATAAATCTCATACCCATCTGACACCACCCACAGTTATTAGAATATTATTGACTATATTCCCTATGCTGTACTTCACATCCCCATGACTATTGGGATTAATTGAGATGATTAGTCAATAAATTATATAATGTCTAATCACTGGGGTGTACACCTGAAACTAATATAATACTGTAAAAATTGTTTCAGAAGAATAAATTCTATAATTATTTAAGAGTGTCTGACAAACATGTACATAAGAAAATTTTTATTTGCATCTGTCTGGAAAGATCCATGTCTACACTTTCCTTATTCTGGAAAGGAAATTATAGAATCAGACAGATACAAATATGTACTTTAAATTTCTTTTCTTTCTTTGGTTAGTGCTATTTTTTGATACATTTGAAGATACAAGAGGATGTTCTATTTCACAGTGGTGGTGGGGGGGGGACCAAAAATACCTGGCTCAAAATAAAAGAAATACTACTGTGATTTCCTTATAATATATTCAAGTCCAAACTAATATTATTAAAATAGCTATCATTTACTGAATGCTTTCTTACATGTAAGAAACTGCCTTAGAAATTTTTTAAAAAATTCATCTTAACCATAAAATAGGGGCTAGCTTTAGTCGGATGAGGAAACAAGAACTGTTAAATGTTGGGTCTTGAATTAGGTAAAGTGGCTCTAGTTCTTACAATCTTACAATTTTAGGAAACTTTTATTTCAGTGTATTTAACTATATTCAGGTTTCCTCTCTCTTCAATAGAGAATACACATACAATTTTCTCTTTGAATTACTTTAGAGATGTATATGATGATCTATTTATAGTGGCACTGACTTGATGGTCTTATAAATAAGATAAATGCCTGAGGTTCATGTGATCAATATATATTTAAAAAAAACACAACAAAAACCAGAAAGATAAAACTATACTGTAATTTGTTTCCTTGCACCATCTAGTGGACTTAAGTGACAACTGCGCAGTAGCATAAATGATTACAAGTTAATTACACAAGTCAAATTTTGAAACGTGCTGGAGAACTGTTCATAAAACTGTATCTCGTATCACGCCACAAATATGCACACAACTATTATTTTTTTCTTTTTTCATAAGGAAATAATTGAACATGAGCGCTGAATTCATTAGCGACTGTTTAAACCCACCAGTAAATACCGAAAACAGCACCCCTGAAATCTTTGGACGATTAGCGATAACGTACACGTTTTAATCCGTCTTCATAAATCCAAAGCTCCCAGGGCAGCTGCGCAGCGGCGCCGCCAGCCCGCACGGAGCCAGTGCGCAGGCGCACTCAGGGCGGAAGCGGGGAGGCGGGGCTAAGTACGGAGCTTGGAGCGGAAGAGGCCCGGGCTGCTGGGTGAAGCGCGGACACTGTTTGGCGGTGAGTCTGGGGCCGGCCGGAGCTCAAAGCCTCAGACCGCGGGAGACGTCCAAAGAAACGAAGGACTTGGTGTTCCGGAGCGGCCGCCCCTGACTGCGGGTTCCCCGCCTGCCGCCGCGGACGCCCCCGCCCTCGCCGCCTGGAGAACCGGCCCTGAGAGGCCTCTAGGCCTAGGCGCGGCCCGCGGAGCCCGACGTGTTGCTGCTGCCGGAGCTGCTGTGAGTAATACGAGCGCCCTCTCCACGGTCGTTTGCAGATTAAAATGGAGGAAATTTCGTTGGCTAACCTGGATACTAACAAGCTAGAGGCCATCGCTCAGGAGATATACGTAGACCTGATAGAGGATTCTTGTTTGGGCTTCTGCTTTGAGGTGCACCGGGCAGTCAAGTGTGGCTACTTCTACCTGGAGTTCGCGGACACTGGTAGTGTGAAGGATTTTGGCATTCAGCCAGTGGAAGATAAAGGAGCATGCCGCCTCCCGCTTTGCTCCCTTCCTGGAGAATCTGGGAATGGGCCCGATCCGCAGCTGCAACGCTCACCTCCGGAATTCCAGTAGCCGCAACGTGAGAGGGCCTAAGTGTGACCAGGACAGTAACCTAGACCGGTCCTGTGGTCTGGAGAAGTTAGGTAGCTGAGTAGAAAAAAATAAAATCAGACAAAAGTCCCAATTCCCATTGAAGAGTCTAGCCTTTAAAAGCCCAAAGTGGAGAATTTTAAAATTCGGATTTTTTTTCTAAGTATATTATCTGGGATCAGCTTTGAAACCCTGGGCAGGAGGATCTGTGCATCTTGTGTGCCATGCAATGCAGGTTGATCTCTAAACACAGCAGGAAGTGCACAAGATCCCTGTACTGCCCCCAGTGCACAGGTGAGCAGCTGTGTGCCCAGCATACAAGATCCTTTGGTTACTCATCCTGTCAGTCTGCCTGATGTGAAGGGCTTCCTGGATAACTGACACTTTGGACATAACTGATGGTCAGGCCTTTATCTTTGGGCCTCTTTGGGACTGCTGCTCTGGTCTGGGCCTCTGATTTGGGCTTCTCCAGGACAAAATGAAAGTCAGGTATGAAATCTGGATATCAAGAATTACAGTTTGGGGAAACTCAGAAAAAGGATTTCCAGCTGATTGTGATAGGGGAAGGTCTGTGGTGTTGGCTCCAACAAGAAGAAAAGGTCAAAGCCATCAGCTTCCCAAAGGTCCAGCATTTACAGTGACTTCAACGGACTTGGGGACAAGGACTAGCCTTTTGCTGAACAGAGCCCTCTTTCTGGCGCCCCACCTGGTGGCATAGGCTTAGCAAATGGACAACTTGGTTATCCAGGCAGGTTGAGGATTTGGTTATGGTCCCTTGGGGAGGTAGCAGGGGCTTCTGCAACTATGCACGATCTCTCAAACTGCAAGATTCCTATCTGGATATATTCTTCTGTGGACAACAGTTTGGTGGGGTAGTCATTTTCCTACTCTTGAGTTCTAGTTACCTAGCCAGTCCATGGGCCTGACTTGGTCATTATGCCAGGTCACTACCTGCCTTCTGTCCTAGGGGCAGGCCTGAACTATAGAGGAGCATCATGACTGTGCAAGAGGCTATGGTTTGAAAGCTGAGCCCAGAGTGGACCTCTTCCAGCAGCCCTCAATAATGTGAATGGGTTAGTGATAGGAGCCAAGGAGCAGGACTGGGTTTTCTCCCATCTGCCTGTGCAGTGTCCTATTGAATGCCCCTGTTCCTTGGGTTGTGCAGTTACAGAGCTCTGCTGTCTTACCTCTAGGCTGACATCACCTTCTCTGCCCCTCGCCAAGGGCAGCCCTTTCACTTGGTCCTCTTTGGATCTTGATTACAGGAGCTGTTTGTTGTTGAAAGGGAAGGGCCCCCGAAATTCCCTGGCTTCAGGGAATGGGATAGGAGAGGATGGAAAATGTGAGCCACGTGTCAAAACTACCCTCACTTTATCCCAGTTGAGGGTTTATGACGTGTAGAGGTGTGGGAGCCCCAAGGTGAGCAGGAACGGTGCTGCTTTATTTGAAATGGTTTCTTACCTCATTCTGTGCCCCACTAAGGGGCCCAGCCTCATCCGTCTGGCTTGGCCTCACGTTCCTCCTTTTCCCTGCTCCACTGCCTATCTGGTGCAGCTCATGACTCCAGGTGCTGCCTGCCTGCCACCCTGCTTTCACAGTGACCAGCTTCAGTTCATCCCTTGATGCTCCTGCTTCTGAAGCCTGTCCAGTTTCCTTTTTCCTTGGCTTCTTTTAAGTTTTTAACCCCCCCTTGTTTTTGTGGGAGACTCAGAAGAAATTATGGCTCCTGCTGTTGAGATTAGGATGGGAAGAAAACCCAAAGTGGACAAACTGAAATGTATACCTTATCTCTAATTGTTTGTAAATGAAAGGCAATGTGATTCCCAAGTCTTTCTCTTATAGAACTGCCTTGCTAATATGCCTTCCTGCTGTGTCTTACTTCATGAGGAGTTATATCTCCCCACTTCCACTTGAATATTGCTTCCTAAGACCTAAGCAGAAGAACAGTAAAAGCTAGAGACAAACACATGGATGGAGTGGGTCCTGATCCATTTTCTCTAACCCTGGCTGTGCATGTATCCTTCCTTATTCCAGAAGGAATAGTCTGGACTATGTCACTGATTTGGGTTACATGCTCTAGAAGATTCAGGAAACCATTAGTAATAGGGCCTCAAGACTAGATTATTGCATCTCTTCCCCTAGAGTTGTCGTGGTAGGGGCCTAGTTACAGATTGGTCTTCAATTCAAGAATTGTGACTACTTTTTAAAAAGTCACACCTTGGCAAGAACTAATATAATTTTGGGTAATCTGCCCTTGACTTTTTATAGACATCTTTCTAAAGGGATATAAAGGTAAAGGAAGGTCTAACTGAGACTCTGGCCTACTTCCAGATAATGTCTGGGAAACAGGCTGAAGGTAAGGCCATGATTCACCCTTCCTTCATGGAGGAAGCTCAGATTGTGACATTATCATTTTTTTTCTGACCTTTTCTCCTGGTTAGAGGAGGAAGTGGGAAGTTCATATTATCTCTCTCTTGGTTTTTGGTTTTTGCCCCACACTGTTAGGGCAGTAGCCCCCTGCCCTGGATGGGTATGAGGTGGGCTGGAACAAACTCTTTGTTTTGGTGGAGATAATGCTCCCTACCATATAGTTGACAGTGGTTAGGAAATCTCCCTTTCCCTACCTATCTTCCCTTTAACAGCAAAATTCCTGTCCTTTCCTCCTCAAATGTATTGATCACTCTGTAATTCTATTATGTATCTGTGTGTGTGTGTGTGTGTGTGTGTGTGTATGGGGGAAAGGGGTTCTTTACAAATTTTCTGTGGTTTGTGGCTTTTTCTTCCAAACATTAGTTTCTATCACCGCATGCCCAGGGGCCATTGCCTGGCATTATAGCATGCTGGGATCATTGGGGAAGTGTAGTGAAACTCACCCCTGTCCTTTGTTTTGGAGATTCTTATTTTTGCATAAGTAGTCTATCCTATACAGATTGCTGTGTATTCCCCTTGCCCCTATGGCTGCTGGTGTAAATAAATTGCATCTCCCCATTGGTAAACAGTAATAATAAAATTTTAAAAAATGATTTTACTTGGCCTCTGTATTTTAATCCTTTAAAACTACATGTTTTTCAGGTATTGATAGTAAAATAAATGTTGTATTGCTATTGCTTTCCTGATTGGGAGTTTTATCAGAATAGAGGGACTCTACCCAACTTTGTTTCTCCATCTAGTTCTGCAAATTTATCTTTCTTCAACATCCAGTGAAACAAACAAACTATATAGAATCTGCCCTTTTTCATATGAGGTAAGAACGTGGTAAAATATAATCCAAGCCTGTCACTAAAAGTCCAATGTGAAAGAAAGATGGTTCAATTTGAATGGAACTCAAGGTATCTTAATATATACATTTCACCACCACTTCAAGCTAATATCCTTTCTCTAAAAAGGCAAGTGATTCATAGGAAAAAGTGATGACTTGTCCTTTGTAAAGGTAATTTTTTCCCCAATCCTTTATATTTTACCCCAGCTCTTTTGTTTTTCACTTTTAGAATAATTCTGAAAATTTTTATTTCTTCCATTTCCTAATCCAGAGTTGGAGTACTTCCCCAAAAGTTGTGCATATTTCTCGTTAGTACTGGTAAAAATCACTTGTTTGTTAAATGTAGTTCATTAAAGAAACAGTCCAAAATTGGATACAGTGTTTAGGTGAATAAAAATTATAGAAATTGTCTCAAGATACTGTAGGTTACCTGTATGTTTAGATTTAAACTAATATATATTTAGTACTAACCTAGTTAGTTTTCTGAAATGAGATAATTGCAAGACCTCAGTGCCGGTAGAACTGACGGTAGAACTTTTAAGATCATTCCTTTTCATGTTTTCTAACTAATGATCTTTAAAAAGAAGAAAGTTACATACTTTTTAATTTCCTATATTTAACTCCGTAGTACTGCATTTTAACAGCATGTAGCATGAGATCGGGAACCTAATAGATGATTACATAATGTTGACAAAAATAAAAACAGAAAATGAATTCTGCTCAAGTATTAAATTGTTAAAAATTCAGGAAGAGCTTTCTTTGTACGCAGTAATAATTTAGTAATGTTGCCTTCCATTAGGACCTATTTGAGGTACTTTAAAGTGTTTCTTTAATTTTTAAAACAGGTGTTTTATGAAATAAAGAGGATAGAGGATATATTAATGTGTTAAAAACCTAACATTTATACTTTATTAAACATCTTTTCACACTGGTTTTTAAAATAATTGTCACGGTTAGCAAATTGCTGCTCCTCAGATCAGTTAGAGATAATTTTTAACAGACTTTGGAAGTTTTACGTTGCTATGGGAAGCCCAAGCTCTGATTCTCATTCATGTTCCAAAAGATGCCCATGATGTTTTGGAGGAAAACATTTGTTACAAGTGATACACTTGTTTAAAAAGATGTTGCAGATAAACCTATAAATCCGTGGATTTTTTTCCCCTTTCTTAAAACATTTTCAATCATATATTACTTAGCCTCATTGGATATGTGAACTAAAAAGGAAATATTAAATTTCATTTTGGAGATTAGACTATATTCCAGCAACAGTGACTTGCCCACAGTTCAAAAACAAAAAACAATAGAAACAAAAGCAGAATCAAAATTTTAAAAAATTTAAAAAGATATCTAAAGTGACTCAAGGAATTTTTATTTTTTTATAAAATTAATACATCTAGAATGTAAAAAGAAAAGCCAACTCATCTCTACCCCAATACACACACAAAAACACTAGACACTTAGAATTTTACAGACAGTACAACAGAAAAAAAACCCACATAGCCTAAGTGTATTAGGAAGATAGATTTTTTTTAAATGAAGATCTTAGCAAACCAGATCGTTTAAAATATCAAAAGTAAACATCAACAAGCCAAGTTAATCCCAGGAAAGTAAGATTTTGATTCAGAAAGTCACATCATCAATAGGATAAAACTGAAAATCCTGATACAGAAAAATATTTTGTAAAATGCAGTCAATTATTGACTTAGAAAATAGTTATTCATATAGAAACTAGGGCTAAAGAACACCCATACATTGATAAAATATGTATCAGAAATGCTGTATACAAAAATTGCTGTGCTTAATGGTGAATACCTGGAAGCATTCCCTTTAAAATCAGGAATGGAAGAAACAAAAGTCTCATATCCCGAGATATCTAATTGGATGGTTCTATAGAATCTGAACAGACCATTGGAAGTAATGATAGAATGCAGTAAAGTTGCTAAATATAAGATTAATATCCAAAATCAGAATGATAAACTTTTTTAAATGTTACATTATAATGTAATACTACACAAATTATAGTGGTTCTATTAATTTTTATAACAAGAGGTGTAAAATTTATGGAGAATGATAAAATTCTCTTGTGGTATGTTAGGGAAAACCCAAATAAATGGAGAGTGATAGGATGTTCATGGATAGAAAGCTCAAAATCATCCATATATATGAATTGGAAGTATCCTAATAAAAATTCAAATAGACATTTTCATGAAACTTGACAAGCTAATTTTAAATTTTATATAAAAACCAAGGTGGAAGAGTAAAGATCTTTATGACATATGTATCTTCCATAGTATGATTTTGAAATAGAAGAGAGAGTTCAGAATTAGGTAGAAAAACACATTTCTGTTATCCTTATGTATAACCGAATTGGTATTTTAGTCAGTGGATTGTAAACCTATATATTGTTCTGAAATAGATTATCTATAAGTAAAAAATAAAACTCCAGACACAAAAATTCTCATGTGCATTAAAGATTTATTGTGGAAAAGTAAAACACCAAACCGTTATAGGAAAATAGGATATGTTTATAGGCAAGAGAAAATGTCTTAAATAAATAAAGCAAACATAAATAAAAGATTGATATAGTGGACTAAAATAAAAGTAACACATTTTGCTCTTTGTCATTCTAAAAACGAAAAATAAATCCCTACGACATAATAGTAAGTAAGTAGAAGGGTTGTGGTTCTTATAATGGATAAAAGAGTAATGACAAAATAATTATAAAACTGATATATGGACAAAGTAAAAGAATAGCTCATTTATAGAAGAAATCCAAATGACCAAAAAAGATGTGAAAAGTTCACTTAGGTTCAGAGAAATGCAAACTAAAAACAATGAAATACCAATTTATACGATTCAGTATGGTTAAAATGAAAAAAGGTGATGATACCAACTTTGACAGTTATATGGAGCAACTAAAACTTGTACATTGCTGGTAGATTGTACATTAATAAAAATATTTTAGAAAGCAATTTGGAAATATCTATTGCAGTTGATAAGCATAACCGAGCCCCAAATATTTCCACCTCTTTCAGCATTATTTGTAGTAAGAAAAATCTGAAAATTACATAAATACTCATTAAAATATATATATAGTCACTGTACAGAAGTGAAAGTAACTAGAACAGCACAAATAAAATAGTAAAATATTACTTGCTGCCTTTCATTTGAAGCTTAACAATATGCAAACTAATGCCATATTTTTAAAGAATATATGCATTTGTAATAAAAAGTTCTGTTTACCAAAATTATTGAACTAGACTTCTAGATATTGGAAAAAGAATTTATGCAAAACATCTGGATGTTGAATAAATTACAACAAAGATACTATTAAGTGCCTTGCTATCCTTCCAAGAAAGTAAGGAAGATACCCAGCTTTTCCTTCTAAATATACACAATAAGCACCAGAGATACAGTGGAAACAGAAAATGGGACTGCACTGTGAAACATACAGATACCAAGAATTTCCAGATGGGAATGGAAGATTAAGTTTTCATCAAAAATTGAGACCCTTATACTACATAAAATACCTGGTACCATACAAGATACCTGAAATAATCTTTACATCCTTAAAGAATGGATAGAGTAAAATGACAGACAGACAAAGACCTTCCTCACTGCAGAGAGAACAGAAAAAGCCTGTCATGGCCAGATGTGAAATAATTAACTACCATCATCATCATTTCCTTTTGGAATTTGTACTCATTCCCTTGCTTTCACATAGTTACTCTATCCTGCTAGTTAGACAAACCCCTATCTAAAAGTTATATAATATGTCCAAGATGATATACTTTTTAGCTACCTGACAGAATTCAGCTCCCTCAACATTTCAGAAAATATAAGCCTGCAATAAAAGAAACATCTGTTTCTTTAAATATTTCAGTTACACCTGTTATATTCTGCTTCTGATAATTGTATTTACAAGAAAAGAGTGCTAATTCTGTAGCTTATTATTTTCTGCTGACCCTAGCACTCCGTTTTTGTAAATAGGATTATTAGATGCAAAATATAACAAACCTTTAAGTTAATAGGTAGAATTTTAAACTTGAACACGATACAGGAGAGAATGATGATGCAGATATGAAAATGAAAGTAATAGAACTTCTGAAAATAATCTATACCAATAAAATTAAAAACTCAGCCCTAGCTGGTTTGGTTCAGTGGTTAGAGCTTCAGCCCTCAGACTGAAGGGTCCCAGGTTTGATCCTGGCCAAGGGCATGCACTTCAGTTGAAGGCTCCCTCCCTGGCCCCTGTCTGGGTGTGTGCAGAAGGTAACCAATCGATGTGTTTCTCTCACATCTATGTTTGCTCTCTCTCCCTCTCTTCCACTCTCTCTGAAAAGCAACGGAAAAAATATCCTCGGGTGAGAATTCAAAAACAAAAACTCAGTGTATAAGTTTAATTAAAAATTAAAATTTGCAGTTTAATTAAAATGGGGAAAAAAGGAAAACCAGCATGAAGCACAACCTATTGTTTATTAATCATTTTGCTTACTTATTCAGACAGCAGACTTTGTGTTGCCTCCTTGCCTCCCATTAATAAACCCACGTGCTTTTTTTAAAAAAGTAGGTAATTGAAAAGTAAAAGTGCAGCAAAGGAAAAAAGTAATAACACTGAACGTGCAATTGGATGTGATCAGAAGATTGCTGACTGTGGGAGTAGTAACACTGCAAACATTCTAGAGAGCCAAGCTTTGCAGCCAGAGAAGTTAATGAAGGTGAAATTATCAACAAAAAGGAAGGAACTGGTTGTGACAAAAAGGATAAAG